GTGGTAATTCATTCCTTTTTAATACTTCTTATGTTTCATATCAATATTAAAACATAATTAATAATTTAAATAGACTTTCTCTTTAAGAAGTATTTAATTAAGATATAAGTTATTGTATTGTGTTTAAAACAAGTCAAATACATTATTAATGGCATTCTGAATGACTAAAATTGTCATTGTTTAATAACTGTAATAAGAGAAGTGTTTTATTTTATCTAGTCCATGAGGTTTTCTTCTTTCATAACTGAATGATTAGAATCATCACTTACACTAACAACTTGAAGCACGGTATTTCCATATTTCATAGAGAGTATTTAAAAAAAAATAGTTGAGGATAATAAATTACATATGATTTACAGAAAATATGTTTGTGTTTCACAGTTAGTGCTAATATCTCATTAAGTAATGTCAATAGAAAAGGGGTTGGAACGAAAAAGAATACATAATGGGAGAAAGTAATAAAGTTAATGATAATGAGTCATTTAAAGAAGGATAAGAAATAGTATTGTTTTTATTAATTAAGATATTATAATGAACTAGAAAAAAACTAACTGAGTTATACATAAATTGACATTAAGATGCCTAAACAATATTCTAAAGGGAAGAGTGTATTAAAAAAAGAACGATGCAAAAATTGTGGATCTAGTGAACATACAACAAAAGATTGTTTAGAGCGTCCAAAGAAATATGGAAGTAAAAGTATTGAAATGAAAGATATTCAAAAAAGTAAATCAAAACAAGAAGAAATCAAAGAATTAATAAATCGAACAGAAGAAATAACAAAAGAAATTCAAAATACACAAAATAGAATTGATTGTAAAGAATATTTTAATTCTAAAGAAGAAGAAGAAATGATAGAAAATGAATTAAATAAAAAAAAAATGGCAATAAAAAATTTACGAAGAAGAGATGATATTGCACCATATTTAAAAGATTTAAGTGATGGAAATGACAAAACTAAACAAGAGATAGAAAATATGAAAGAATTATGGGATAAAGAAGAAGATAAAACGAAACGAAATGAGATTGAATTTTTATGAATTGAATGAAATTGTATGTTATTTATTTTAATGAAAAAAAATAAACAAAAACGCAACAAAACAATCAATAACCAGGCATATCAGTTAATTTCACAAGACTTACATTTCCTGTTGAATTACCAAATGCCATATAACGAGCATTTGGAGAAAGGTCTATTTCTTGAATTCTTCCAAACTTAGAAAATCCAGGGAAATTAGAATAAACAACTCTTTGTTGGACATTAGCAATTCTTATTTGTTTATCTCCTTTTGAAGATGACATTAAAAGAAGACCATTTCTAAAAACAAGATGATTACAATCATTAACAAGATTCTTAAATGTATGAAGTGGTTTTGGATGAGAATCTTTTTCAAAAGATTTCCATTCATATAAATTGACAATTCCTCCATCTGATCCACATGCAATATATTCTCCATTATTTGAAATTGCTAGAGAAGTAACATTAATTGCACCTTCATCATATACTAATGATCTACATCTCATCTTTTTAAGGTCCCAAATATTAATTGTACCATAATTACCTGATGTTAAATATACATCTTCAGTTGGATGAAATACACTTCCTAATATTTGTCTAGCACCTTTTAATTCATCAATAACTTGAAATGATTTTTTATCAACAAGAATTGAACTGAGATTACCGTCATTAATAAATGAAATATATTGTGATCCAACAGTAAAATAATTTAGGTCTATTTCATCATATCCATCAAGTTTTGGAATATTTTTTATTTTATGTGAATTCATATCATATAATGATACTTTTGGTTTATTAAATGTCATTAAAACAGATTCATCAACAAATTTTGCTAATTCAATTGGTTGATCAAGTAATCTATCTCCAATAGGAAAACATTTATCTTTTTTCATTGCAAATAAATGAAGAAATTGATCTCTTCCACTTGTCATTAAAATAGGTGTTTTATCATAAAATTGTGTTCCAGTAATAATCCCTTTACTTTTTCTTAACATTGTTGCATTCCTTAATAACTCAAAATTTAACTCATTGATTTTTTTTCCTTTTTTCTCTCGTTTGACTTCAGTTTTTAATAATGTTTTATCATTTTCATCTAATTCTTCTTCAACCTCTTTTCTTTTCCAAATATCTTCATATCTCTTACTTGTTGCTATTTTTACTTTATTTTGGTCATCTTCATCCTCCCAAGCATTTTCCTCTTCTTCTTTTTTAATTTCTTCATTTTTATCTTCAAATAATCCAATCTCATCTTTGTCTTGATTCATGTAATTTGACTCAATTTACTATTATTTGTTCTCACAATTCGATTCTATTTTTCTTTTCTTAAAAAACCCTAAAAAATCCTTTTTATGCGATGGATAACATTAAAAATATTGCAGTGTTTCGATAGGCCAAAGACCTCTAGTCCAACGGACAGATCAAAGGCGTCAAGGAGACAAAGCAGGGATTATTAAGCATCAAGTCTTATTCAAACGAGCTCAAACAATCACAACTCTTCTATGGTGACTAATAGCGAATATGCAATAGAGTTGGATATTCTGTGAATCACCTTATTTTATATTTTCTTTCTCTTTGTCTTCTTATATTATTTGTCTTTGTATTAATTATGGGATTTTTATTTTTCTTCATGTTATAAATATTAAATTAATGTTATAGGTTTGTGTTTTTTCTTAGTAAAATAATTAGCAAGTCATCCTGAAATATGATGGAAATGAAATGGAAATTGTCTTTTTGAGTCTGACTTGAGAAAAAACAAAATCAAAAAATACGATTAATTATCGTTTTGTGGAAAACTAAGAAATCAACTTCATTTAATGGTGGACGAAGTTCCAGCAAAACTCGATGAAAAGTCTCAAGAAATTCTTAGAGAATATCTTGCAACAAAACAAGAAGATAAAACTCCTTTAGAAACGATTTACTTTGATCTTGCTGTTGGGTTACGTGAAGATGAGACAATGGAATATAGAATGGCTGTTGTTAATTTTGTAGAAAGAAGGTTTAAACTTATTAGACATGGAAAAGTACGTGAGGAATATCCATTTACTTCATTAAATACAGTTACTGTATGTTCAAGTCCAACTCAATTTAAAATGAAATTAACGTTATGTGAACAACCATCAATTTTATTATTAATGCAAAATGAAAGTGATTTTAATTCATTATTTGAAATTCTTCGAACTATAACAACTGATAACAATTCAATCTTATTCAAAGAAGATTTCCTTCAAGATGTTTGTTATTTTTTTCTTTTTATTTTATTGTTGAATTTTTTTTTT